TTTTTTTTCTCAACTTACTGAGCTGAACTCATTATGAAGTTTTCAAATTTACTTAATTGTTTTTGTTTGTGTCGTGATTTTATTTTTAATGTTCACTCCTATACTCTCTTAAAATCTCCATTATATTAATGTAGAAATTCATTCTGTTGTTCGATGTTTGATTCTGTCTCTAGTCAACAATCCTTGTTTCCATGCTAAATCTGAACTCTAACCTCATGTCTAATTATACTGTTCGAACCCCGGTGGGTGGTTACTGATGAAGAGTCCCAAACTAGGACGAAACAGCTGTCCAGTACTCCCAGGTTTTCCAATGGTTCTCTAACTAATGTCAGCTCATGATGAAAATTATGTAACCAATCAAATCCCCACAAGCCAACACTTGAATATCAATGAGATGCTCACTAGCGACTTGCCCTTTTCAGGTAGGTAGTTACCTGGGGTTCTAGTGAGAAGTCGTGACCAGTAGGGTGCAGCAGGTCGGGCGTGAGGACAAATACTCGCCGAAGACATTGGCTAGTGGTCGCGCTATGTCGTGAATCGGCAGAAGTTAGAATTCATGGGCCATTGGATCGGGTCTCAGTGGCTTAATGGTCTACGAGCTAGCTCGCCTTGTAACCAGAAGGTTCTGGGTTCAAATCCCGGTGGATGCGTACTGATGAAGAGTCCCAAACTAGGTAGAAACAGCTGTTGAGTAATCCTAGTTGGTTTTCCAATGGTTATCTAACTAATGTCAGCCCATGATGAAATCCTGTAACCAATCAAATCCCTTCAAGCCAACACTTGAATATACTGTAAATAGTTGGCTTTATTAACACTCAATAAGCTGTCTACCCACATCATTTTTTGAAATTGTGTTGCTTATACTTTCTGTCTATAACAACTCGATGTCAGTATGGAGAGATTATGTTCATCAGTTGTGTAACAACTCATAATCCGATTTCATACATTTGGTTCCCTTGATAAATTTCGATAGAGAAAGAGAGATCACATTTGCAGTATAAAATGATGTCATCATTCTATTTCATAGGTTCTCTCTCATCAGCTAACTGCAAACTACTACCTGAAATTACAATAATTATAAATAGTGACATTTCATGCATCAATGTTTGGAAGCTTATAGTGAGAACATTATAAGATGAACGCATCCGCAATATAAGCATTTTTAGTTTAAGTCACCATCAATTTATATGCTATCAAACTACGACAAAAAATCTAATAAACAGTGTTAGCTTGTATGTCAACTTGGCAACTCAAGAAGTTTAAAGTTCATCAAAATGAAAACTTGCTCAGTGAGCTGAGCTCACTAATTAGTAAGTACTCTGCTGATGTTACCTCCAACTGCATTTATAAATTTACGTGCACCTGCTACAGCAAGTACATTCGAAGGATGGAAGGGAAGGCTTCTATCCGGTTTTCAGAGCATATTCCAAGAAACTTATGATTTAAGGGAAGCAGATATTTACAAACTGCGATTACCAGACACCTTGTGGATAAGGGTCATTTTTTCGAGATTTCCAATTTCTCCAAAATATTAAACATACGAAGGACAGCGAATTTACTATGATTTGCTGAAGCAGTTGCAATCAGGCGTTTCAGACCAAACTTATGTGCACAGAAAGAGAGTGTAGTCAATCTGCCACTCCACTGGTAACCATAATACTCTGATTACTCTGAGCTCAGCTCACCAAGCAAGTTTACAGTTTGATGAGCTTTAACCTTCTTGATTTGCCATGCAGAAGTACAAGCTAACACTGTCTATTGGATTTTTCTGTTTTCTGTCTTCGCTCACCTCCTCCTTTCTTCATAGTTTGATAGTATATAAATAGATGGTGACTTAAACTAACAATTGTAATGCTTTTATTTCGGATGTGTTCATCTTTTAATTTTTCTCTATTACCTTTCAAACATTGAAGTATGAAATGTCATTATTTATAACCATTGTAATTTCCGGTAGTTATTATGAAATAATGGAGAAGATTTGTAGCCTAAGTGGATGATTTTGATATCGGATTTCCGGAGCTTGTGGATTTAATTGCCAAGTTTTGGTCATCCTTCTGGACGACAACTTCAGAGCTGGTGTTAGCACAAAATGGACTTATTTTAATTCTTCATAATTGATGATATAACTGTATCTCCTGACAACCACTGTTGTGATTGGTTACTCATTTACGTCTCTACTGATCATTTTTATTGATTTGGAATTTGAATTTTCTTGTCATGTGATGTTTTACTTTTTATTATCTGGTAAATTTGATCTATAGTAATGTATTTGTTAATTGCTGATTCACTTGAGTACCAGTCTTGTAGAAATTCCCTGGCGTTTTTCGTGTTTCCTCTACTTAAAATTTCTGCATTATCCCAATCTATTTGGTGTCTGTAATTGTCTACATGTATCGATGTGAAAGAATACACAAAACATGCATTTTCACAGATAATTTATGATTTTGGATTCTGAAGTGCCGGGAACGCCTACTTTGAGCAGTCTAGTGTTTATCGCAGATGGTATTGATCTTGTCTTCTTCTGGTCTGCACAGTAGTGAATGAAGTCATTGTGTTGGCTTGCGTGCTATATGAAGTTGTTATTTCAGGGATATCCTTTATGTATAGTAGAATGAATTTTTTGTGGTCTTCGATGTTGGTTTATTGTTGGTGTTATGGCTCCGGTTTAAAAACTTTTTGATGAAATTTTGAGGATATCTATTCATTTGGAAGACAGTTAGTAGGCATTTTTTCTCCATTCTCTTCAACACTGGAGTGCTACAGTGTGTTTGAACTTTAAACAATGTCTGCACCCAGTTTATCCTGTGAGTCATTAAGTTATCGCTATTATGGTTGACTGTTTGATCTGCGTGTATGTTGATTGCTGTATATTTGTATTTCCAAATTTCAAATTTACGAAGTTATAAAAAATAGATCACATAACAAGAAAGCTCAAATTCCAATTCAGTAAAGATGATCAACAGAGACGTAAATTAACCACCAGTCATGATAAAGGAGGTTGCCAGGAGATACAATTATATCTTCATTCATGGAGAATTGAAACAAGTTCACTCTGTATTAAGGCCTACGCTGTAGATGTTGTCTACAAGAAGGACGACGAAAGCTTCTCAGTTAAATTAACCAGCTAAGAAAGAACACGACTGGACCACAAATATGTTAGTGATTTCTTTATTCATACTGATAAAGGGAAGCGGTTGTATGACATTCCATATCCTTCCCCTCACCCACTATACAGTTACTTTTGCTTTCATCTAAAGAAGATTTATTAGCGAAGTGACTCTGCGACAGCTTTCTCCAGCCGACAACTTCTCTCCTTCAAAATGAGAAGTTTTCTCAAGTCTAAATAAAAAGTTCATTATTCTGACGTTTCTGAAGCGATGAAGGTGGTCGCAGTTTTACAGATCGAGTTGCTAACCCGGCAGCAAATTTCTCCTCATTTCTCGGCTTAAAAATACCTAGTCAAGAGTAGGTTAAGGTGATGCCCCGTCTGAGATTTGAACCCACCTTACCCAAGCTCATCAGATGTTATCAATCTATACAAAAGTATCTTTCAATAAAATAAATTAGTCGATAAAAGAAAATAATGAAGGTCATTGTTGTTTTTTTATAGTTTGCTTTTTCTTCGAAATCTTTGCATATATATATATATATTCAAATTACACTTTGAGTAAGTAAGTTGTAAAACATGAGGCGAAAATTGCAGAAAAAAGATAAAACAGGAAATCAACTCAACAATAGACTAATATTCTTTTTTTTGTACTTAAATGACAAACTTTTAAGTAGTAGACAGTTAGGCTCTCTTCATTTGTTTTTCGCCGAAACATGACAGTGTAACTGTGATTGTAGGTGAGTAATTACGTAGGTAGATAGGTAGGTAGGTAGATAGATAGGAAAGTAGGCGGGTAGATAGATAGGTAAGGAAATTGGGCATAAGCTTGTAAGGCGGACATTAATCAAAACAAAAACAGAAAAAAAGAAACAATCAAGGGGACATGAAGACTGGCGACGACAGCAACAACAACAACAATAACGACAATAATAGTAGGCTAATACAATTCTGTATGAGTAGTCTAAGTGTTGTCTCTACTTCATGAAAACTTTCATTCCCCTTCCGCCACTGTGTACTCAAAAGTGTACAAATAAATTTGAAAAAAGAGAAAGAAGATTCTGCACATCTAATATGACAATACTTTTATTATCCCATTGTTCGAATTAGTTATCTTTACTTCTAGTAAGGATTAAGAAAGTATGAGATAATTTAATCCAATTTTTTTTTCGGTTAATTTCTTGACTGCATTCATTTCATCATTTCTGTTCATTTCGCGAAGATGGTATAACCATAGTCATGGAAATTTTTAAATTTCATAATACATGATGTGTCTGAGTATATGCAAATATTATTTGTAGGTGTACATCAGAACGGAGATTCAACGGAAAACATACTGTGATCTTTTAATATTATCCAAACAAAATATACACATTTAGAGGGAAAGAAGTAAAATGGATTCGACGAATGAATACAAGACATTCAGCTATGCATAGTATCACTGTCAGACGATAAGCGCAGGTATTCAAAGTTAACCAATTTTGTTGTATTGAGCGGTCAACAAAGAAGAAGGAATAATGAAGGGAGAAGGCGAAAGACTGTAAGACGACAGGGTTGAGAAGAAAGACAAAGACTCAAATATTTTAAGCACTACGTGAGCTCTCCTCCGATTGTTTGCATATTTAAGTGGCTATGTGTATGTGTGAGCGTGTAGACGTGAGTAAGAAGAATGCAGATGGACAGTGAAGCGGCGATTAATGTCTACTGACACCCAGTTAACACATTACTAGGAGTAATAATTATAAGATTAATCTCGGCGATATTTTTCAAGCAATTCAATGAAAATCTTAATATTTTCTACATTAAAAGCATTGGTGATGATGTCATTAAATTATTATTGTTATTATTATTATTATTGTTACTATTATTAATAAGTGATAATGATGATGCAATATAATTGTTTCTCTGCCTTTTGTACTAATTTGCAGTTTGTCCAATTCTAAATTTAACAGGACGCCAACCAGATCCACTAGTGGTATTATTATTATTATTATTATTATCATTATAATTAATACTACTACTAGTCGAATTATTGTTGCCTAAGCCAAATCCGTTATTAAAATTATTACTATTGGTATTATGATTATTACTATTATTGACAGCGTTGTTCAATTGTCCAAATGATATACCTAAAATAAATGAAGAAAGAAAACGGAAACCGGTGAAAATCATTAGAAAGAATGTGATTGGTTAGTTTCTATCCATATAGAAGTTATATATCTTAACATTGGTGGTTTAGTGGTAAAAAGGCTAGTCAGTTATTCGCGAGAGGTTTGGGTTCGATTCCTAGCTGACTTTGTGCTAAACGTCGCCTAGCCGACAGAAATCTCGCATCATGATAGAACAGAGTATAGAGTGGCAATGAAATCTCACTCTACCTCAACTTCATCGAATTTGAAAAAGCCTTTGGCAGCGTTGACTGTGAAGTAATTTGGAAACTGTCTCGACACTGTGGAGTTCAGGGTCCCAAACCTTTATCAGTCTCATTGAGCAGCTATGCATGACAACAACACATACCAAGCTATTCATAACAGAAGACTCAGTGGAGACTTCCAAGTGAATACAGGAGTAAGACAAAGCTGCCTACTACCACAGATGATAACATTCCTGATTGTGGTGGAATGGCACATGCGGAAGATCGTGCGTGGGAGCGGGATGACAGGACTACGTTGAACCAGAATGAAGACTTTAGAAGGTCTGGACTTCTTATTTAGACAACATCCTTCCAACTACAGGCAAGAAGATTGGAAAAGGTAGACAGACATTAATTACTGTGAAATCAGTAGGGAAATCTGTTACAATCAGCATAAGGAACAAGTCAGTACTTGTGTATGGTCTAGAGACTTCATGGGTCACGAAGAGCATTCCCGATAGGCTGCAGACTTCCTTCACCAACTGTCTTCGATAATTGGGTAGTGGAGATCACATTACCGGCCACAGAGGGTGGGCAAAAAGGAACTCTGGTAACAAATCAACCAAGGACCTAATGCCCAACAAATATTCCGAAGGAAGTGGAGATAGATCGGATACATGACGAGCAGACAGGTGATTGACATTCCGCTCCATGCCCTCGAGTAGAACCCGATTCAAAAGTGGCGAAGTGGGCATGGCTCCGAGGTGTGAGGAGGATATGAGGACTTATTGTCAGTCTTGGAGATAGGTAAATAGGACTGCAAAGAAGCTAGTGCAATGAAGATGTGCTGCTAAAGCCCCGTTTTCAACTCAGAACCTAAAGGAATAATAAATCGTTAAATGTCGACTTATTTGATTCTACTGTTTTTATCATTCAGATAAAACTAAGCGTCAATCTGTACTGTTAAAATTGTTTTACACATTAGTCATACATTCACCAGTGGGTTGCACTGGAATCCGTGACAAGCATTTTATTCTATGTAGAATTTATTAGACAGATATATCTGCTTGTCAATGTCTAGCGTCATTCTCAGTGGGAATGGAACCAAACGTAAGTAATTTAAAACGCTATAGTATTATTCACAAGTCTACTGGGGTTTGGGAGAATGCAACCTCCCAACCCGGCATTATTTTATCGGTGAAGATTTTGATTTTCCTCCTTACTGGTTTATTTACGTAGTACTATCACTTTGGCTTCTTGTCTGCTTTCATTGCCTACAGTGATATACCCGTTATATATATGGTGCCTTTACTTATGCTTCAAAATTTTACAGCAGAGTTTCTGATGGAACTTAGGGCTTTAATACCACATCGCTATTTTACTCTGTTCTCTGCAGACCTCTTTAACTGGCTCTTGATTGCACGTTAACCTTCATTTCTTCCTCATATGAAATCCTTCATTTCACCTAAGGACTCCTAATTTGTGGTTGCTCATTCTGATTTCACTTCAGAGGTGGCCTGGTGCTTGAATCACTCAACATTCTTCTCAATGAATGTCCGGTCCATCTCTGTGTGTATACCTGATAATATTAAACCAAAGTTACTAGTAATGAGAGTTTGTATTTAAAAGTAATTAGAGCTTAGAAAAAACCATTTTCCTAGATTTGTTACGCAACAATGGAGACTAATGAAAGTAGATTTCACAGAGTACTGAATGCGTAAAACCTGTATCCTACTGATTCGGGGGAAATAATTAAAAAAAAAACACTAGTACTTACTACTGTTTGAATTAGCTGGTACAAATGGTTTCGGTGTAGGACCGAGTAAATTTTCCGATTGATTAGGTGGTGATGGTGCCCGGTCGACAGCCAATGAAATACTCGGTTTCTTATATTCATTTGTCTCTCCATTATTTTGATTAACTGGTATTGGTTTACCAGCAGGAACTTGTTGTTTTAATTCCAGTCGTTGTGGTGATTTCGATTGGGGAAGTTTTGAAGTCATTTTAACATGAGCATAACTATTCATTGTTGGACCTGGACCAGAGGCTACAGCTACATTCATCGTTCGATTGCCTGATTCATCATCTTCTGAATTTTGTGCATCCCATTTCAAAGCTCTAGCATGACGTTTGGCGAACATTTTAGCTCCACGACTATCAGATTGATATAAAGCTGTAGCAATGTCGAAACATTTCTGTGGATCTAAATCTGAATGTGTATTTTTAGGGAAAATTTTAATTTTCTCTAAGAATTCTTGCACTGTCTTCGGTTGGCCTGGAGCATAAGTCATTGGTGGTGGTTGTGGGATAGTCGGTTTTTTATTTGGTTGAAGACCAGGGAAACTTGGCGGTGGAGGAGGTGGATGCGGTGGTGCTTCTGGAGGTGTCATGTACTCCAACTGTTCAGGAGTTGCCTTGAAAGTAAAATAAAATGGGAAAAATGGGAAGGTTAGTTTAAGGCATTCAGTAATTTAGCTGATGTATGAGTAAAAAAGTATGCAGAATTTAAATATGACATTATAAGCATCTATTTCAATTTCAAGCTGATGGGAATCTACTATTCATCTCCTGGCATTTCAAAGTTCTGTACGCATTTCATTGTGGTGAAATTTTGCATTAAGTAATAAACAAAATGAGTGTCACAGACAAACTATAACACACCACACCCGCAGTTTACGAATTGATTAAATGTTTGGTATCAATCAGATTACATACTGTGTAAATTGCAAATTCCGACTTCTAAATTAAGTTATTATTTTCTATAGTTTGGTTTGTAAGGGTTAGTTTTGTTTTTACGAGTTGATCACGGATTGATATCGGTTAGAGAACCATTGAAAACCAGCTGTTTCTTCCCGGTTTGGGAATCATCGGCAGTACGCAACCACTGGGGTTCGAACCCAGGACCTTCCGGTTACAAGGCAAGCTCTTATACCATTCAGACATTGGGACCCGCTTGAATGGCTCATGGATGGAGTTTCCTGGAGTAGTTCTAGTGAGAAGTCGTGACCAGTGAGGTCCATCCAGATGTCACGTGTGAGGATGGATGTCCCACCTATGACAATGGTTGGGGTCGCGCTAAATCACGAATTGGTAGAAGTTAGAATTCATGCATGGGCTAGCCATTGAATCGGGTTGGGTCCCAGTGGCTGAATGGTATACGAGCTTGCCTTGTAACCGGAAGGTCCTGGGTTCGAACCCTGACTGTGGGTGCGTACTGATGATGGTTCCCAAACTAGGATGAAACAGCTGTCCATGTACTCCCTGGTTGGTTTTCAATGGTTCTCTAACTGATATGAAACCGTGATCAACTCGTAAGTTATTATTAGTTCGTCCAAGTAGCTAGTCGGAAATCACGTAGTCTGAACTGATTCAGTCCTCTCAGTCTGATCAAACCACGTATACAGATGATGAGTGAAATGGTCGTCCGAAGTTTAGATCATTCTGATGTGGCTAGCAAGCATTACTAGCTGATGTGAACGGAATATAACTACTCATCTCAGTTAGACAGTAGTATATAGTTTTACGCATTTAAACTAAAAATATAATTTTGAAATCAATCGGTTATTTACACAGCAGGCAGGCATCTTGATGTGAAATTTTACAAAAGTTTACTTTTGAAGCTCGAAATACTTTAGGGCATAATATGTGATCTTCTCAATACTGTAAATGTTATCATCACAGAAGTATGCAACACAGGCAATATGATAAATACTACTTATTGAAATCAGTAGCAGAGAACATACCACGTCAAACAGTAGTCATAAGTAGGCCATCATGAACTAATTAGGCTCATTGAGCTTCGTATACTGACGATAAACTTGTCTCCGAAACTGGCTAAATGATCATCTGTTGTTGATAGCAATTCTATATAGTTTGGATATAATTTAGGGTACCACCTAGGCATTTTGTTCCATAGTGTATCATGAAAATTTTGCTGCAACACACGTGTTATCTTCTAAATCATCCAGTGCATGCATCAAAAACGGTTCAGAGATTGTAATTTAGCGTTTTGTCTAATAAATTACGAGTTTTAGAATCCATTTTCAAGGACTATGTGCAAATATTAGAAATGCTAAGTGATGTAAGAAGAGAATTTGTGCACTGTGGTAGAGTATAATTCCATTGTGGATAAAATTTATTTTAATAAAGTCTCATAGTGTTTTACAATAATATTTACTGATGACAACGTTTCGAGCGCTATTTATTGCTGCTCATAATCATATCAAGTTACTCACACAACTTTCTAACTTCGTTTATATAATTCCATTTTTTCTCATCTCTTGGTGTGATTGGTAGTAATATTCTCCATATTTCAGGTATGAGTGATTAGTCATTCCTATTGCATGTGTTGGGTGTAGACTTGATGAACAAGGATTCAGTAATCAACCCGTCTCTCCATCTACCTAGATTACTTCTTAGAATTGTAATCCTCTCCCACCCTATTGTGTGGTTGTATGCATGCACTGTTATTGCTGAGGTGCTTTCTAAATTACTTATCTTTACGGGGCCAATCATTCTAACATTAGCTAAATTCTTGTGTTATGATAATTTCACTATTCCTGACCTACTAGTTTGACCTATGTAGTTGACTTAGCTCACACTCATTGCAAGGTATTTCGTAAATTATATGATCTTGTCTGATTGCGTCAATAAGGTCGGTCGTTTAGCCTACAGAGCTTGTCCCTGACTGAATGGGTTTGTAGATTTAAATGCCAACCTGATTCCTACTTTTTTAAAAATCCTACGTAGGATATCAGATGTCCCCTCCTTATATTGTAAAACTGTAGATGCCTTATATTCTTTCTTATTTATGTTATCATTATTAGTTTCACCACTATTTTTATTTTACTTTTCACCTTTTCTGATTTTCCTAATGAATTTTATAGGATAGTTATTTAACACCAATGCTTCGAAAATCTATATTTCTTCCCGCAACTGCAAAACGTTTCATTCGCTGCCAGCATTGGCAAATTCATTAATACGGTATTCCAGTCGAAGAAAATTTTCTTTTCGACGATTCATTTTCATAAGTTGCTGTACAGTGGTAATTGTATTTAACAAAGAATTCATAAGACGAATCAGACACTGGTAAAATTTTTCCTCGAAAATCGTATGACATAATGTAAGGTGTAGTCTAGACGGGGTAACTAATTGGAAGTTAGAAAAGAGGCAGAAGTTGGCATGACGTAATCTCTCATCTCTTTCTCCCCAAACGATCTTCTCCATGTCACCCTCATACCAACGACCCACTCGTCGCTTCCCATTGGGATTCCACTCGAGCATTAGCCTATATTGCGCGCGATGTCATTCGATGGCCTCTTCAACGTCTGCCCAATCTATCTCCACTTTCTCCTACATATTTGTTGAGCAATCGGTTCTTCGTTGGTTCACTGCCTGCCAGAGTTTCTTGTTACTAATTCTTTCTGGCTGGCTGGCCGCCCGGCTGGCCATTTGATCTTCAGTGTGGAGCCAGACAACGAAGTGGGTGGCTGTTGATAAAAGACTGTAACTTGTTGAAAGTGCTTTCCGTGACACACTGGTCAAGTTTCTGATCCATTCAGAAGAAGTGACTGACTGACTTCACATTTGTGTTGAAAATTCGAATCTTGTTCCTTATGCTGGCTGAGTGCGTTGCAGAAGATTTGAAAACTGGTTTCAGGTTGATGAATGTGTATCTTGCCTTTTCGATTCTGGCTGGCTGGCTGGCCAGCTTTGACATCTTCATCCGCCATCGCCTGTAGTTGAAATGATTCTTCCTAGACGGATAAGTGAAGGAAGTAACCCCTTTGAAATCTCTCCCGTTGATGGCGATTGGTGCTGGTTGTTGTTTCTGTTGGCGCGTGGGTATCTTCATCACCTCCGTCTTCTCTAAGTTCAGCTGAATTCTGTCCTGTCTTCGCTGCCTCCCTGCTTCTTCAGACAGTTTGTTGGTTTTCACCTCTAAGTCTTCTAGTTTATGTGCCTTTAGACATAAGTCATCTGCGAAGTTCAGATCTTCTAGAGTCTTCTTACCGGTGGTCCAGCGTATTTCTGTCTCCTCGCTCCCCACAGTCTTCTGCATAATCCAGTCCACCACAATTAATGTGTAACCTAGAAGGGATAACTAATTAGAAGTAAGAAAATAGGCAGAAGTTGGCATGACGTAATAAGTGTGAGAAAGTGGCTTATCAATATAATTGTGCAGAGTGGACAGGAACAAGTGAAAAGACGATAAAGTGGTCATTTATTTCTTATTTGCGTAGCATTAAAAGCTTAGAAAATCTAGCAGCTGTAATACCACAACACTTTAACGGTTTTATCTTATAAAAATCATATTCCATCCACATAATCTAAATAGACAGGCGATTTTCCTCTTGATATGTAGATAAGTAAGGATAGATCACATCTAGAAAAGACAGCTTCTGTACCAAAGAAAGCTATCTTTATTAACCTAGCATTCAAAGGTGACCAGATTATGCAGTTGATAGCTCAAATACTTCGTTCAGCCATCAAACTCACATTCTACGCCGCCATCTCTTTCCCTCCTCTGCTGAACATTTTTTCTATCCCTGCACCTACGATTCAAGGACGAAATTCTGTGGACTCTACTTCAAAATAAATAATGTTTAGTTCTTTCCTATAAAAAAAACAAGCGACAATATTACTGAATATTACTCACTGATTCAATTGGATCTGGTTTAGGCTCTGGTCCTTCTTTAACATATTTTTCTGCTCTTTGTCGTTGTTTCTCAAACATACATGCACCTTTTGATTCAAGATTATATGGATCATGTAGACTGTTGGCAACTCGTCTAGCCATTGCGATTTGTTCTTCAATTGTTGGATAATATTTTGAAGGATCTGAATAGAATGATGAGTCAGCATAATTCTTTTCTAGAAAATAGAATCAGACAAATATGCTTGTGAGATACATCAATTTTGATCACACACCAAAACAGTTGAATAATCATGGCAGTTCGTACACAGGATGATGACGGTAAGCATACAAATTACGTAATTACTCATAGCAATTATGTTTCAGAGACTAGCCAGAATTATACGGAGAATATTTTACTCAACAAACCCATGTTTGTCATTCTCTAGGAGACGAATGACTAGGACTTAAACCAAGAATAAACCGTCTCCCTTTGAGGTTTGATAAAGGATAGAAGAAAAACCACCCGAAGCTCTTTTTTGTCACATTTAGTGGAAAAAACAAAGGTATTCAAAGCAATTCATTGCAATCTACCGTATCTTTCCAATGGACCGCGTATTTGTCCACTGCATGTAGTAGCTAAGGCGGTTGACATTCGAACTATTAAGCCTACACTACACATGCATAAGTTCGTAGAGTTGTAAAAGGGGTGATTGCCATGGCTTAAGTGGTCTAGTGGATAAAACTTTGACCCTTAAAACGATGGACACGGGGTTCGAACCTCATTGTGGACACCAACACATACTGTGGAATGCAGGTACATTCAAATGAAGAGTCCCAAATAGCACGAAATGTGCGTTATCCTGGACTCCACTGGTAATCGTGGCAGGATTCAGACAAGCAGCCTCTAAATTACTAGCCTGGAGTAATGGAACGCATCTACTAAATAGACCTACATTTTAATATAATCTTAATGATTCACACTTAATTATTATGCGAATAGATGATAAGTAACTGTCCTTTTCGTTAACACAAAAGCTATCCACTTGGTTCTTCTCCTCTTCAATTAGAGGAGGAAAAGCTTATCGGAAACTATTCAAGATGATTTTACTAGGTCACTAGGATTAGAATCGATAGGAAGAAGTCTTAACTGAGTGGCTAGTGCGGTGACAGACAAACATCTAGGTAACATTGTTTCATTAACATGACAGCTGACAAAGGCTATAAAGTAATGATGTTTTGATAAGCAGATGACTTATCGCTCATTTATTTGGATGCCATGCTGGAAATCTGAAGGTGACTGGTGTAAGTCTTGCAGAAACCTAGATTTTTTTTGACTAGACACTAAGTAAGCGAGTAATATATCATGCATTTATTCCTAGGTGTTGCTGCAGACTTAGTTCTGTCAGCCAACTTTGCAATGTGACCACCATACTAGGTGACTCGCCATCAAGATACATTGTGAATTGTTTTTACTAAATATCGGAGGCTATCGCCAGGAATCTTTATACCTAGGCTTCGGGCTTATTGGAACTCGTCATCAAGACGTATAAGGAGTTTTGTAGGAATTTATGTCCCTTCTGAGATTCAAATTCGGATCACCCAATGCTGTTGTTGCAGGCGTTAGCACTGGGCTGTTTTGGTTTGAGATTGATCTCCAATAGGACAGCATCACGTACTTTGATTAGAGACTAGTTAGCGACTGGTATCATGGGTTGAGTCTTTGGTGTTGGTACATACTGAATTCTCATCTGTCATCCGTTACACTTAAATTCCACGACATTTAATCCAACTTCACCCAGTTCGCCAAGTAGTGAGAAGGAATTTGGTGTAAATTCACATTTCATTCAATAGACGAATAGTGAATCAAAAAATTTGATATTATGAGATAAATTCATAGTTTGAAATTATACTAAATTTTTTTTACGAGTTGATCACGGATTGATATCAGTTAGAGAACCATTGAAAACCAACCAGGGAGTACTGGACAGCTGTTTCATCCTTGTTTCGGAATCATCATCAGTAAGCACCCACCACCAGGGTTCGAACCCACGACCTTCCGGTTACAAGGCAAGCTCGTGTACCATTCAGCCACTGAGATCCAACCCGATGCAATGGCTAGCTCATGCATGAATTCTAACTTCTACTGATTCGTGATTTAGCGCGACCCGAACCATTGTCATAGGTGGGACATCCATCCTCACACGTGACATCTTGATGAACCTCACTGGTCACGACTTCTCACTAGAACTCCAGGAAACTCCATCCTGTAGCAAGTTACTAGCGAGCATCAGATTAATTTTCTATAGTTTGGTAAAACATAACTAACCCTTACAAACCAACTATAGAAAACCAATCTGATGCTCGCTAGTGACTTGCTACAGGATGGAGTTTCCTTGAGTTCTAGTGAGAAGTCGTGACCAGTGAGATCCATCCAAATGTCACGTGTTAGGATGGATATCACACCGACGACATTGGTTGGGGTCGCGCTAAATCACGAATTGGTACAAGTTAGAACTCATGCATGGGCTAGCCATTGAATCGGGTCCCAGTGGCTGAATGGTATAAGAGCTTGCCTTGTAACCGGAAGGTCCAGGGTTCGAACCCCCCTGTGGTGAGTGCGTACTTCCGATGATTCCCAAACTAGGATGAAACAGCAGCTGTCCAGTACTCCCTGGTTTTCAATGGTTTCCTAACTGATATCAATCCGTGATCAACTCGTAAAAACATTACTAACTCTTACAAACCAAACTATAGATACTACATTTACAAAATTAAAACAGTTGAACAGTGAACCTTGCTTTTCTCTCAGGAATGTTACGTCATTTCATATTGTATTTAATTTTGATTAAATAGTATGAATTCAGGAAAGTAAAATGTTTCCCGCACAAGTCAGCTCTCTAATTACAGCGCTGAAAATTGATTGACACTCATAAATGAAAAGAGTCTTTCCGCGGAATCACTTGTTTTGATTTTCTACTTTTAAATCTGTTGTGGAAGAGTAATTTTTAAGTTAGTCATCATTCTTGTCCCTCAATTTTGATGAATGACATAGGCTTTGTAAAGCAATTCTTGTGTTATGATAATGAAATGGGCAACACAAAATAATTAAAATCAATCTGTCTGCTTACAGATGGTCTTGTATTTACCATTGGGAGTAAAAACGGTAAGAAGTAAACTAATAAAATAACAGGCAGTGAATATTAGCTGACTTGATGATATCATTATCATTCTTATGGGTGGAAATAACTTCCGACAAGCCAGCTAGTTAACTATATTGTAAAATAATGGGCAATATTTGAAAGTGTGTGACAAGTTATAAACATTGAGAAGAGAGGGGTGATGACAACATTCATCCAACAACAACAACAACGACAAGCACCAGTCACCATCAGAGGGGGTTGGGAAGTCTAGATGAAACTTAAATTCTTACCTTACTCGGACAGTATCGTTTCAACTACAGTTTGCATAGGTGTCGATGACGAAGCCGTGGTTGCAGAAGCAAAACAGACCCATATTACTCTGACGTCAGTGTGGAAATCTACTGCAGTCAGCAAAACACTAATATGAAATAATTTGCTTCTACACTGATACGCTGACTTCGCACACGTTATCAATAGCACTTCCAACAGGTACCTGTAGGTTTTCATAAAGGCCTGCTGTCATTGCATACTGAAGACCAGATGGCTGGTGAGGAAAGACAAGCAACAAAGAAGTCTGGCTGTGAAGCGACCAACCAGCCAAAAACCTGCAATCCAATCGACAAATCTGCTGGAAGAAATGGAGGTGGATTGAACATAAGCTGTTGAAACAGCTGAGTGTGTCCTATGCATTTCTATTTCCCTTAGAATATTTCTTGGGCAATATGTTCTCGGTCGGTTAATTGACAGAGTTCCCTGTTGCTTATTATTTCTGACCGGTCATCTAATCTTCAGTATGAAGGAAAGTTCGGGAGCCCGTCGGAAATGGTTTTTGTGACGTGCTGAATATAGAAGAACTGAATTAATATAGGTTTTGGAAAATCAAATGTTGTTTTTTACGCTGATTGGGGAAGATTTCCACACTGATTTCAGGGTGTTGAAGGTCTGTTTTACCTCTTCGATCCTGCCTTTCAAATTCTTATTCGTTCTGCTTGCAGTTGGAGTGATGTTGTCTGTAGATAAGTGAAACAAGTGACTACCTTCAAATTTCTCCCTTTTACAATGATTATTGGTTATTGTTGTTAGTCTGTGGGTATCTTCATTGCCTCCCCCTTCTTTGTGTTCACTTCAAGTCCTATTTTCACTTTGGCCTTTTCTGTCAATTTGTTAGTTTTCGCTTATAGATTTCTGAGTTTGTGTGACATAAGACATAAATCATCCACGAAGTTGAAATCTTCTGCAGTCTTCTTATCAGTCTAACGTATTTCTGTCTTCTGGCCACTACAGGGTGCCGCATGATCCAGCCTACTACAGTTGTGGACATCATCAATGATACTAGGCATGTAGTCTTGTCTTACTCTTGTTTTCATTTGAAAGGAATCGGTGAGATTTTCGTCATGAATCACTTGATGTGTGGCATTGTCATATGGCTGTTGAATGAGACTGAAAAAGGTTTGCTCACTGAACACTTTAGAGTTGAAGCAGTTTCCATCTAGTGGTACCCGAATGGGGATAGATAGTTTGGGCGTTCAAAAGTGACATAGATAAGATCATGTGAGGAGGAAATAAGCAGTTATGGAGCAACCTAAAACACACTATTGAGAACCAAAGGCAGTGGCCATGTGGCGTTGAGGCTCAAAGTTTCATCAGGAACCCAAAGGACGAGTAACAAATAAACAATACGTGACAAGTTATAAGCACGTTTAACTTTTTTTCTGATAACTTTGAAAAGTACACCCACCAAAGTAATATGTACATTATTTTATGGGATGACTGAGTGTTAACTCACTTAATCTAGGTTTCTTATTGACATTTTACAACTTATCCCGGATAGCTTACATGAATTATGAAAAGCCTTCTTGTAATCTGTTATTATAACCACCAACCCTTCAGCCACTTTTTCAATAATATTAGAAAGATTTCAGGAACGTTTTTATTCAGCATTTATTCAAAAGTCGAAAAAGTCATATAATACTGTTGACAGTTTTCGAAATGTAAAACACAACTAAAAGCTCTACTCGCCTTAGTCTTCCATATTTTTTGGATTAATATCACTGTATAAGAAGAAGGACAGTTTTGAAATTACTCAACTCCTCTATAACTACTATTTCTGAATGAATATTACCAATTACTTACTTTTCAATTCAGGTGCTATCGGTGGCACATCAAATTCTCGCATCAATTGTTTCACTGAGACACTGGCTACATCTGGATCATGAGGAATAATATGTGGATCAATAGAAGGTTGTTTCACAGGCTGTGGTGGTGGTGGTTGTGGGCGTACTGGTTGTGGTTGAGGTGCTGGTGGCGTTGGAATCACAACTGGTCTTGGAGGTGGAACATGTATAGAAACTGAATGTGACTTCGCTGTAGGCGGTGGTGATCGTGGAGGTGAAACATACTGCTGTGGAGGTGGTGGAGGCCAATTTCTACGTGCTGGTTTCAGCGGCATTCCTTTCTCCCAAAACAATTGTAATTCAGTTGTTGTGATCTCTTCAGGTATTTGCTTAGAACGTAGAGATTTATTGTCCAGATAAACTTTTTCTATCTTTTGCTGTCGTTCATATCTTTAAATGAGAGGAAGTAATTGAAAAAGAGAAATACCTTAAAACATTGTGAATTTTCTGAGTACAACAGCAGCTGAGATACCTTAAAGTGTTTCGAGAAATGTGCATAAATGGACGGCCAGAAGAACAGAAATAATTCTAGAATAAACATTTTCATGGGGCCCTAGATTAATTCCAATGTAGATTTCGGCACGAATCAACATCAGTCAGGAAGATCTTTGGAAACAAGGAGGTACTGCATAGCTATTTCGTCTCGGTTTGTGGCTCTTCAACTGCGTGCTCTCATGATCATACCAGGGATCAAACCTGTGACCTTCAGGTTAATTTACGAGTCACCCACAGAGTGTGGCTTGGTAACTTGAGACTCCCACGTGCAATCTCTCGTGCGGTAGTGGGCAGATAATGCTGGAGCGTCCTGAACTTGTACAAGACGATTGTCCAGTTCTCCTTGGTCTTCAGTGATTCTCTAATTTTTTCTTGTTGTTTAGCAGAGGACTGTATAGGGTTTACATCAACATAAGGTTGTGGTTTTCTCAGGGCATTTTACGGTCTGTAAACGACAGTCGATATAAACAACTCTGCAGGGGTAAGAAATATTTAATATGAAGTTTTAAGGGTTAAAAGTTGTTATACGTTAGCTACAAAAATATTTTGAAGCATTTATCATTACCTCCCAATAGGTTTTAAATATTGGCACAACTGTTTATATCTCCCCATGCAAGTTGAGTGCCTGAACACCGTCCAGCGAATATCTATTTAATTCATAATTTGCAGTGAACACAGTTTGAGGGATGAAACTCTCACGAGAGTTTTTTTCAGAGAGCAAGTTACTCTGATCACAATATATGATCTACTTCAAACCATAGATGGTATTCAAGAAAGCAAGCATCAATTCGTTAAACTACATACTAGTGATTGATTCAAATGATTCCTTAGTTGTATACCACACATATTGACCCGTAGTGCTTTCTAACCAGCCAGATCGAAGTGATCTAAACATCGTTTGGTCATTTCGGTCGTTTGGGGACAAGCTCATCAGTGGTTTACCGAGTCTGACTGAGCTCATAGATAAAGTAATAAGAAGACGTAATTTGTCTGAATCGTGTTGCAATGTATTTGCCCAACACATTTCGAAGAATCTGATCACACACGGACTTGTCATAGAAATATATATGGAGTTAATAAAGAGTTAAGAGGTGAGAAAATAGACATAGGTTAAATTAAAAAGACATATTGAAGGTCAAAATAACAATGAAGTTCACTAAACTAAGTAAGAGGGGTAGTGGTACATTTGCTATGGTATCAAAACAAAGTTTACCAAGGGAGGTTTATTGTGATGACGAATTGTTGCTTTGAACGCATAAAGGTGGTTTAAACTTTCTAATTGCCAGCTAGGGCTTCCACAAACTTTAGGATACGCCCCAAACACGTTTTATAGATAGGTTTAAAAGATGTGTAAACATCAATTTTATATCCTGTCTCTACAATATATTTCGCAATAGATGAGCTAGGTCTCCTGTTCTCACAATTAATGGATTCTGAAGATTCCATTTGTTTTTGGAGCCATTTAGGAATATGCTCTGAAGCCAGCCCTTACTTGCAGAGATCGGTGAGTCCTCCCTATGTATGTGTGTCCAAACGAACATTCAAATTGGTAAATACAGTGGGATGTGACATCATTTTTTGCATGTTCGAAAGGCTTAGATAAGTATATTGGCTTCACATTCTCAATTATTATGATATCAACTGCATAAAAGGTCTTTTTAACAGTAGTGTGCAATCTTTGTCTAGTTGTCAAGGTGCTATGATCCCCCATTTAGGGTAGCTCGATGTTCACATACTTCTTGTCAGCGAGTTGTAGAGTGAGTCTTGGTGTTCTGACTACTTTATATCTCCTGATGAACTTATCTGGATAATTGTTATCAACCAGAGTTTGTGTCAACTTTATTTCTTCTTCATCAAGTGTGTCTTCAGTGCATATTCGTTGGATTCTACTGAAGAGGCACCTTATTAAGGCTCTTTTTGAGCTCATAGAGCTAAAACACAATTCAAACCACTCGATTTCTGTCTAGCTACTTGAGAGAAATGGTAACACTGTAACAGCAGAAGGCAAGACACGGAGGCCAAGGTATATTTTCAAGTGATCAAACTGCTATTTATATCTATACAGTTTATATTCTTTAACCAATTACTGAGCCCGTGATTTCGGCGTACATTAAACAACATGAAATAAAATGTTCAAATACATGTAGTGTTCTGCGAAGAGACTCTTTTAGGCGAATTCATTCACATAGCTGTACAATCGCATTTATATATAATTTGTGTGTGTGTGTGTACATGTGGTTTGTCAAGATTAGATATTTAATCAGGCAATACAAGTGTGCGTATCAGATTACTTCAAACTGCAGAAGCAACGGCAATTCACTTGCTAAGTCCTGAAATCTGCATACAGAAGAAGCTCGTTCAACCACCACACTTGCAATGGACGTAGTCTATCTTAATACCCGACGGGTAAATTCTCTTCATTAGTACTATTTTGTCTTTTCAATTGTAATACTTTACATTTTCTACCTTCCTGTTCTCTACTCCCACCCGATTTAATTTCTACACCTCATTATCACTGTTACTGACTTGACCAACACTCAATTTCTAGTCATTCATGTTACGTCATGCTCAATTTTAGTTCTAATTTAAATGGCATTATTCTCTACCCCACCTCTAATTAGTCTCTACCTGTAATTACCTCTGTTGCTATCCTGACCTAAGTTGAAACATTTCAGTCGATTATATTACGTCATCTAACTTACTAACTCAATCTTACTTTAGTTGCGGTATAATTAATCTTGTTTCTATATTAGATCATTCTTGTATTACCTGATCAATTATTTAGACTTGACAAACCTCATGTACACACACAAATAATTATATATAAATGCGATTGTACAGCTATTTGAATGAATTCGCCGAAAAGAGTCTCTTCGCTGAACGTCTTCTCTTTTTCATATGACACAATGGGGATTTTCAAGCTAATATAGTATTCTGTTGCTAATGCAGTATTGAACTGTGGGAATATGTGAGAATAATATTCCTTGGAATACATTGTCTGTATCACACCACCACAACACTATAAATCAGATTTAAAATTTGCAAACTAATTATCCGTTTTGCAGCTTACACACTTCGAGGAGGTGAAATTTTTCACCACAGTTTTCGCTGGAAATCAAAATTATCCATGTCACACAATGTGACCTTCTCGATACCACAAACGGTAATTAAGAAAAAAAATATATTTAAGTGTTGGTTTGTAGGGATTTGATTGGTTACAGGATTTTAGCGGCATTAGTTAAGTTGAACTGAGTACTGGACTTTTATGAATTTCACGGATATTTACATAAAACTATACGCTATAATAAACTATTATTGTTTCCTTTGGTTCCTAGAGGAACATAGGGCTTCAGCCGCACGTCTCTATTGCGTTCGGTTCTCTGCCAACTTTTTCACCTGGCTCCACGTCTACCCACATGTTTTCATCTCCTCTTTACATGACCTCCTCCATGTCACCCCACCCTCGCACTGACGACCAACTCACAGCTTCCCGTTTGGGTTCCACTCGAGAGCCTGTCGTGTGATATAATAAACTGTGCTGGTGTTTAAATCATTTCTATTTGGCTGGCTAGAAAACACTACTACTGGTTGATATGAGTGGTGTCCAACTACTCACGTCAATTAATCAGTAGTATATAGTTTTATGAGAATATTTAATGAAATGAAGTAAAATCCGGTTGGCATTTTATCTGGTAGTGTAAGCTGAATACCCTGGAAGACTGTAATTATTAGATGTGAAAATCAATGGGAATCATGAGAAATTCCAGTGGTACGTGATAGTGTGAGAAGAAAGGACAATACAATCTGCAGTAGCGACGAGGATAGGCGACCGACAGCAACAACAACCAGCACCAATCACCATCAACGACAGAAATTTGACAAAGGTTACTTCCTTCACTTATCTGGCTGGGAAGCACGGTTTCAACCACAGCCAGTCAGAACGGATGAAGATGTCAAAGACAGCCATACAGCCAGAATTGGAAAGACGAGGCAAGATACGCCTTCATCAACCTGACATCTGGAAATCTTCTGCACTAACTCAATCAGCATAAAGAGAAAGATTCGAATTTCCAACGCAAATGTGAAGTCAGTCAGTCACTTCTTCTACATGGGTGAGAAACTTAACCAGCGTGTCAAGAAAAGCATTTCCATGAAGCCACTTCAGACTTTTATCAGTAGCTCCCCCCTTCACTGGCTCCGTACTGAAGATCAAATGGCCAGCCAGCCAGCTGATCAGCCAGAAAGAATTAGCAATAAGAAACTCTATCTAGCTGGCTGAGAACAAACCAACAGGTGATAGCCGATTGCTCAACAAATATGTAGGAGAAAAAATGGAGATGGATTGGGCATACGCCTTTGAGGAGGCGTATAGCATTGAGCTCAATGCAGGCCATTGCTCAAGTGGAATACAAATGCGAAGCGACTAGTGGGTGGTTGGTGCGAGGGTGACATGGAGGAGATCGTGGGGTAAGTTGGAGGAGATGAGAGATTATGGGAATTTGTGGAGAGGTCATCAGGAAATAGAAGAAAGTGGAGATGGGTTGTTGAAGCCCGATGTTCCACTCAGAACCGAAAGGAATAATAATAAATAATAGTAATATGTGATTGTATAGTTTGAGAATGGTATCGCTGAAAAGAGTAACTCTTTTGCTGAAAGCCTTTTCTTTTATATGGCTCAATGAGAATTTTTAAGTTGCTTTGGCATTCTGTCTGTTTGTGTAAACTGAATACTCTGGCAGTCTAATAATGATTATAACTGAAAATCATTGGGAACCCTGGGAAAAATTCAAATGGCACATGACATTATGGAAGGAAAGAACAATACAGCCAGTTATAGAGACATTATCAAGCTTATAAAATTCCCTGTGACTTTACAGTTTCTGTATTCGGACAAAATTAAAAGCAGTAGTTTCCTTACACTACGGATGATTCATTAATATGTATATATATTTATAGTAAGAAGATAGGGAAATAAAACACACGGAATACGCATGGTGGTATTTTTTCCCCTTAGAAACTTAATTAGCCTAACAATATCTCATAAAGAATGCAATTTAGAACACACTTAGCCATATGGTCACAAGCTATTTTAGCAAAAGAAATCACTTAATTAGTTAGTCGCATTAAGAATCTTTCCGATAATGATACTAAGATTTAATAGATTTTAACTTCTATTTATGAGCCTAATTATATCTACCGCTAGCAGCATTAGTAGTGTATTAGCAGAACACGGTAGTAATTGATAGCAAATCAATGTACAGATAGGGCAAAATACGTATACCGTATATTTGGAACCTCTGTATTATGCTTCTTTTGCCTTCCTTTGATGCTTTCTATGTTGTTGTTTCGTAAGCATCTTTGAAATTTTTCCTCTTCAGTATTTAATCTATGCCACTGCTACTCATTATCTTTGCAGGAGACATTACTTACATGCAGTGTACTACTTATTAATTAATTAATTTTATTTTGATTATAGCTTGAAACCACACAGTATTTTTGGCACAAGTATGGAATTTTCAGCATGTGATATCGGTAGCCCAAATTTTGCAGGCCGACCACTGATATCAGGTGTGTGTCGGCAGGGGATCAAACCTCAGACCACGTGAATGGTCGGCGAGAGTCCTAACCGCTGTGCCACCCACTCACAAAGTCTTATCAGTAGAACTTGTTACGGTGGTGTATTTCAAAATAAGCAACTCAAAGACTTGGTTTCATGTCGGTAGGTAAACATGAATTACATCGTGAGGGTCTTGTTTGCGTTTTTTCGCACTATACGTAGCAACAAATAAAAATATTTTGAACATTGGTTATCCTTAATAGACAAAACAAATTGCTTTGCAGTTGTGAAAACAAGTGGATATAAATATTTTCGTAAAATGGAAGTATCCGAGCTGTCAAAAATTATTTTTGATTGAACACTAGTCAGTCAGTGACTAGTGTAATGTGTCTAGTCTTATCTTTGACGTAGACTGAATTCTATCAGTCAAGTTTGCAATTTGTCCACCATGCCACTAGATGGCTCTCCGTCACGGTGGATTATATATATATAGATGGTTGAAGGCAATCGTCAAGTAGCTTTGGACCTACTTGGTTGCTCATCAGCAAGGTGTATCTGCAGCCATGAAGGAACTCATGCAAACTTGACTGATAGAGTTCAGTGAACAACGAGGATAGCATTAGACACATTACACTGGTTACCAACCAGTGTCCAACCAAAAAAATATCCAATACAGTCCTACAGGAGGGAAATCGCGAATCTGAATAGCTCAGTAGTAAGATCTCTGTCTGCATGGCTGCATAACACGGGTTTGAATCTCAGAGAGGACATGAGTTCCTTCAAGATCGCTCACACGCCTTACTGACTGGTGAGTGCCAACTAGCACGAAACCTAGGTTGGGCTAGGCTTCCTGCCGATTGATTCCAACCATCTAATACCAATTATCAAAAGTTAATCAAGCGATAATAAAAACAACTGTGATCCCATTTACATCAAACCGTGTAACAGGTTAAATCAATATATGCATAAAAACTAAATTAATAAAAGTTACAAGAAGTGTTTTCTAAGTTTAATACTTCGTTACGTGAATTGGCAGAAGTTGGTAATCATGAGCCACTGGACTGAGTCTCAGCGGTTGAATGCTGTTTGGACTCGCCTTATAAATAGGAGGCCTTGAGTTCGAGCCCTGACAGTGTGTTTGTACCACTAAAATATCTCAAGCACTAGGATGAAACCGCCTTCCAGTACTCCCTGGTTTTCCAATGACTATCTGATTGATGTTAACTCGTCATCACACTTGAAGGTTGATCAGCAGTTTACAATGTTCCCATTTCAATGAGGTGAAATTTCACCATGGTTTACTTCGGAAACCAAGATTACTCAGATTTCAACAATATGTGGTCTACTTGGTATCATAAATGGTGATTAAGAAAACAAACATAACTGTATAACACTATATACTACTGATTGTTTGAGATGAGTAGTTAGTTGTATACCTCAAATATCAACCAGTAGTGCCTGCTAGCAGCCAGATTGAGGTGATCTAAATACCGGATAGCCTTTTCGTCCTTTCTGAGGCCGTATTCATCAATGTTGTACCCAGTTCGACTGATCTGAAACGGTCGAATCAGTTCAAAGCATCCCATTTCTGTCCAGCTGTTTCGACGGACTTATTCAAACCTGATACATTTGTGATGAGTGCTGTCCCAAACGATCAGAATGGCCATCTGGCGTTTAGGTCACTTCTGTCTGTCTGCTAGCAAGTACTACTGGTAGATGTGAGTGGTGTTCAGATAGTCATCGCATTCAATCAGTAGTACATATTTTTATGCAAATTAGTGTTGTAGATTTGTAGAAGAAGTACTCTGGCTTTAAATTCATGTATATATTTATTTATTTATAAGGTTTGTATCGACAGAAGCTTACGACATAACCCAGAACAGTCTTGTCAGTTTACTTAAAGAGTGCTGTGTTCTTCCTACTAAGCAGGCCATTTTCTATCAAGGTCAAAGGCATGATAAATAAAACATTTGTAGTCAGTTTCCTTGTGTTGAAGTTTCTCTAGTGGTTTGAAAGATTTAGGGGTGTGGGGTTGCTAGCTCCACATCCAGCCCTCCCTCTTTACCCGGGCCTGGGACCGGCTAGAAAACTAGCGAGCTAGTTAACTAGGCCAGAAAGAACAAGCATAAAGAAACTATGGGAACAAACCAACAAGCAAGAGCCAATCGCTCAACAAATATGTAGGAGAAAGTGGAGATGGATCGGGCATATATTGAGGAGGCCACCGAATGACATCGCACGCCAGGCCCTCGAGTGGAACGTAAACGGGAAGCGACGAGTGGGTCGTTGGTGCGAGGGTGACATGGAGGAGATCGTGTGAGGAAGGGATGAAAGAGTTTGGTCAATCGTGGAGCTAGCCAGCTGAAGAGGATGGCAGAAAATAGAAGAAAGTGGAGATTTGTTGTTGAAGCCCTGTTCCACTCGGAACGCAAGGGAATAATAAAAATAATAATAATATAAAAATTCAGTGTCCTTTATTAATCACAATATCAGCCACTCGAAAAATTTTGTTTTACAAATTGATTAAACTTGACAGTTAACATACCTGCCTACAATCACCTCCAGTGTATATGATGCAAGATCAATAATCTGTACAGCTTGAGCATGTGACATATCCAGCGCATCTGCACCATTAATCGCCAGCACATGATCACCTTCACGCAATCCTGCAGCTTCAGCTGGACTACGCCGTCTTATCTAAACCACAAAAACGAAGAGAAAAAGAAAGGAAAAATAATACTGTATTAAAGTCACTGTTCTAAAGATTGAAATAAAACACTTGACACAGTCATTGAGTGTAGACTGTTTTTGGTGATAATTCTTAGATTTTAGGCAGTATACTGCGTAAATTTAGGTAGATGTCCATTAGTATTAATAAAGGTTTTTAAAAACTTATTGTAGCCTAAATATCTACCTTTTTTTCCCAACTTACAGTGATCTGCCGACTGTCTTCAGCTGCCTGACAACAATTTCAAGTGCATTACCATTGAGAATTTCCTAGCTTCTTAACAATAGTAATAGCTTTATTTGAAAACAGTACTTTTGATACAAATATGGAATTTTCAGCATGTAGGAGTACAGTATTGCATCTAATTAAAACATGGCGTTGACACGGATAATATTGTTCAATAAGAAAATAAATATTAAATTAAAACATTAACAACAATCTAACGGTGAAAAAATGGGGCCGTTTACTTAGAGTTCCGTAATAATTTGGTAATTTACTGCCTTGCACTTTTCTCAACAAATAAAGCGTGTGCTAAGTAAGGTATTGTAGAGTTTTGTACTTAGTTGTCCGAACATAAAGTCTTCTATAGTAGGTACTAGTTCCCATACCTGATGAGATGCAGGAAGGAGAAAGTTGTGTGTGTGTGGACAGGATGCTCATTATCTGACAGTATATTATTTGTCGACTAATTATGATTGCTCAAACGAAAGGCAAGTTGCCACCGCTTGTGCCACTTCTGTGTGTATTGACCAATTAAATTGCTCTTGTGGAGAAAGTTATATGGGGCGAACAACTAACTGGACAGCTCAACACACGTATTACTCAGCATCTTTATTCGTGGTTCGAAAAAAGCCAAGTAAAATTTATCAAAAGTTCTATTCTATCCCATTTGATTGGTGACAATGGTCACCTAGTGGACACAGAAAAAGTGCCTTCATTGTTAATTATCTCATCCCATCATACCTTCCGAATGGAATTCTTATCCACCTTGTACGCACAGCTGAAGCTATGGGAATTAATTCGAGAGAACAATCCTAGTCTTCGCATACAAAATAAGTTTGTTCTAGCATTGTCTCTCCTTTAGCCTAGGTAAAGTCTAATTAAAACCCTCCCACTCTTTCTTATTTTCCATCTCTTCCATACTTTTATGATATTTATTTAAACTCTGATTATCTGTCCACCTCACCTTTAGTATTACGTAACTTTATTTATTTATTGAATTGTCTACATATACACATATTACTACATTCATTATTGTAATCACCACCTGCATTAAGCTTATTGTCATTATTTTTGTTATCATTATAATCACCGTTATTACTGACGCTCAAAACATTCGACGCTTATCATTATTATAATCTGATCCACGAACTCACCATCACTGGTTAAATTTTTTAAAGCCATGTGAATTAGAATAAAGCTTGAAGATGACCTAATTCAAAACAACAAGGTCAAGCAAGGCTTCCTGCCGATTACCTCCAAAAAATATCCAATACCAAGTATTGGTTAGCTCGTGAAAGAATCAACAGTATATATATATATATATATATATATATATATATACAATTTAACTACACCGAAAGTCCCTTCGAAAACCTTTCTCTTAAGTTGTGATACAACCTTGCTAATAAAAACCTTCGTGAAATCCTGGATTATTATAGGAATTGTAGGCACACTGAGCTATGTATTGGCTAAATTTGAATAATTTTAAGGAGTTAATATGAAACATCCTGTTGGTGTTTTCTGCAAATCTTCTTACAATACTCTTAAATACTTTTTTAAATTCGATAAATAAGTTCAGCTGGATGGGGAGATGCGTTGTTTTTTATCTGGACTCCCTTGAAACCAACTCATCTTTGTCCTAGAACGGTCACACGAATCAAGCAAGATGTATGTATTTGATAAAGTCCAATGTGAGAGTTAATTGGAGAAGACACGATTCAAGATTTTATCACTAAAATGCTAATAATAGTTATAATCTAGTAATAATCAATACTGAGTTGATAATAGTAGGCAGAATTATTCAGTTCTAAGATTGTTCTCTCTCTAACAAATATTTCCCAATATAGGTCTAATTCTTTTTAACTTAATAGAGCTATTGAACACAATATGAAGGTTGATCATGGTGTTTACCAGTAGCTTCTCCTTGAGTCTTAAACTTTAACTGGTCTAATTCATGGTAGGATAAAGTAGTTCCATGGAAATTCATTTCCAGGTTGACTAATTATGACAACATTCATTTCATTAGAGGTCCTGATGACTAAGTGTACCAATAGTTTGGAATCTTTTAGTTAAACTCTATCAGCAGATCTTCCTGTTGATAATGTCACAACGCCTTACTCAGTCTCAAGATGGATGAATAAGACTCTTCTTAGAAAATGTTATTTTCACACCTAAGTTATGTTATAAAAACATTTTTATCTCCTTAACTAGAACATATTTTAAAGGATTACATTACATTCATATAGAATTCAATAAGTTACTTACAGAAATTATTAGACCTTTCAGGTGTTCGTTTGCAGGAATTTAATTGATGTCAAGATTGATCATGAACTGATTTTAGTTAGTTAACCACTGGACATCACGGAGTGCTGGACAGATGTTTTTTCCCTGTTTGAGACTCCTCAGCAGTACTCACTTATTATACCATCAGAGATTCTATCCAGGAGAATTGGTAGAAGTCAGAATTGATGGGAATTTAGATTACATCCCAGTGGCTGAATGGTTAGTATGCTTGCCTCGTAACCTGAAGACCTTAGGTTTCACCCCTCATGGGATCACAGGTGCATATCATTGATGAGTTTCAAACAAGGACGAAACAGCTGTTGAGAACTAGCTGCTGCTTTTCAACGGTTCTGTAACTGAAATCAATTTCTGATCAGTTTTATTTGAATAACATACTAAATGTAGTTGTGACATTATTTTTCTCTAGCCAGAGTCATCGTTTCACCTAAAAGTCATGTACTCGTTATACCCTTTTAATTATTATTTCTTTCATCGTCCCATCAAAGTTTCTGTAGAGAATAGGTTGATTTTCCAGGGTAGGGTCCCTAGCGATAGAAATAACCAACCAACACTAACAAGCACTAATCACTACCAACGGGAGAAATTTAAAAGAGGTCACCGCCTTCACTTATCTAGGTGCCATCGTTTCAATTACAGGTGTGTGGCACGGACGAGGACAACAAATCCGAAAATTGGGAAGGCAAAACAAACCTTAATCACTTCACAGTCAGGTAGTAAATCTTCTGCACTCAGCATACAGAACAATTTTCGAATTTCAAGTACCGAAGTTAGGTGAGTCATTTCTTTTGTGTGGGTCAGAAAATTGGCACTTGTGTCGGGCAAAGCATATCCAACAGGCTACCGCAGACTTTTAGCAACGATTACCTACTTCTCTGACTTCATATTGAAGGTTAGACGGCTGGCCAGAAAAGATTGAAAACAAGAGTAGAACACAGTCTAGGGAGTTACTAAGTGTTGTCACGTGTCAATCACTCAAGGGGAAACAGAATTGAAAATGACGTATTGAGTGCTGTTCGAAAGTTAACATTGAGGAGATAGTGTATGAAAGCAATGCAAGCCTGCGAGAAGTTGTGGAGCAAGCTAAAGAGGATTGCAGAGAAGAGGACAAAATGGACATTTCCGGTAAAATGCACTATATTCCCTCTTGAGCACAAAAGTGTAATAATATAAAAAATACATGATCTTACATTACAGGAAGTTAATCGCTGTTCAACACTGAATTATGCAAATGAGATTAATATGTATGTATAAATTCACACTGACTTAAAAGAATTAGTCTTTTAATTTGAAATAGTTTCTTTCAGTAGACTTCTGTTTCCTCTCCTTTTGTCTGCCTAGCATTCTACCGATATTTACGAAAAATTTTTTGTTTCTTTTATGCAAGCATAGACATAAAGTGCAGGTGTTTGATTTATTGCTGAGTGATTTTAGCCTCTGCTTTTATGATTTTTTTGACTATCCAGTTGGCCTACGGCATTTATGCATTATTGATGTGAATTATAAACAACTGTGTGTATCATTTGAGATTTATTATACATATATACTGGGAATAGTTTCGGAAGTGAATGTTGGATGGTTTAAGGAATCTTATCGAGGCAGTGTTCCAGATGATAAAATTGTGATTATAAATAATACTGTTAGTGATTAATAACCACTGGAGATTCCGGTTATCGTGAGACTGAAACGAGTAAACTTGATAATTCAGTTAGTAAAGTGTCTGATCTGTAATCATAGGACTATATATGTGATATCACTACCGGGTCTCAGTGGCTGAGTGGTATACAACATCGCCTTTTAACCGGAAGGTCTTGGATCTGCACTGACGCAGAGTCCCCAACTGGAACAAACAGCTGTCTATTACTCTGTTTTGGCTTTCAAAGGGTTTTATAACTGACAGCAGTCCGTGCCCAAGCTTATAACTAATCATATCCCTACAAAGTGACTCTTGAAAATATTTGTTTTTATTCCTATACGTTCCCATTGGAACATAGGGCTTCAAGCTAGAGACCTGAAGTTTCAGTAGCATTGGCGTTTAATTTTTTACGGGATGAAGCTGCTAGCCTCATGCCCAACCTTCACTCTTTACCAGTCTTGTTACTAGCTTAACGAGGTATAGGAGTGCGTTGGTGGCCGGGGATCGAACTCCTGACCACCTGCGTGGATAGTAAGAATCCTACCTCTGTGTCACCAAAGCACAATTGAAATTAATTGAAAATTAAAGCTTAATAATCTGAACTCTTGATTTATCCATCTTTAGTTCTCTAAGATCAAAATGAGGGTGAGAAGAGTTATGTAGATAAATTGGGTGATGATGGTGAAAAGACGAAGGTGTTTGTAGTTTGTCAGTTGGTCGCACTGAACGAGGCAATCTGTGTTAGCTAGCTACCTCTTTTAATTTATGTGTAAAACTTAGTACAATCAGAACCTAGTGATCTCATAAGAT